GATTTTCTTCATTACCCATTCAAGCCGTCTCAAAGTGGGTTCCTCGTCATCGAATTTATCTTTAGCTTTATACTAAAATTTTAAAACAAACAGACAATTAGATGCCAGTCTGATACAGTACCATAAATACAACGGCCTTGCCTAAGAAAATTATAATTACAAAAAGATAGGTTTGAGGAAAATGAAAAAGTATTTTATTTTCTATATTATTATGTCGCATCTGATGCATATGGTTTCAATTTCATGGCTACTTTCAGTTTCTAGTCAAATTCGCAAAACCAGCAGAATCTGATCTCAAAGATGATCTGTTTACGAGAGCTTTAGTGTATAGTAAGAACTTATTAAAAACCAAAAAAAATCTAAAACCTCTATTGTGTGTGTTTTGAATATAATTAACTTTATTTCTATTAAGACACATATTTTGCAGAATTGATTTCTATAGATAATTCGCTTTTCTTACGGTCTCTTACGATATTTTATATAATTAAACTAAAGTACCATTGTTATTGTTTTCAAATTCTATTATTCATAAAAAGAGTACACGTGTCTAAAGTAGTTTTAGCACATTCACATTTGTCTTTATACATATATATATGTCAATTTAAAAGTTGAAGCTTACTCTCTGTTAAAATTGCTTGGAGTTACTGAAACCAGAATGATTTCATTGTGTTTGTATTTATGTTGGCTTATTATTTCTATACCAGTACCAAATACAAATATATCTCGTAATGGATGATGAAGTTATTTAGGAAGTAGAACGGCAATCACGCATATCTTCACTCAAACAAGATATTGCTGTATCGCAGTATTGTGTAAAACGAGTAATGTTTGTATGTTTCTTCGTTCTAGAATCTAGACCAAAACCACTATCTACTGTATCCACCGCGGGGGTTTAGCATTGTAAGTCCGTCGACTTATCGCTGTTCCATCAGGGGACAATATGAGTAGTGAATGATATTATATTATCTAGTGAGCAAATCAAATAATTAATTTCGTAAATAACATTTATAAAAATATATTGAATTTTCTTTACTATCCACTCCTGTATAAAGCAAGGGTCTCAGTGATGGACCAGTGCACTTAATTCTAGACCGCGTCCAAACCACAATTTCTGTAAAACGAATTCCACGTTTTTGATATCACGTGTTAACTTGAGTATGAAAAAGTTAAATCAAGTAAAAAATTATAACTTTTGGTATTTTCAAACTAGACGATATCTTATACAACACGTGGACTATACGGTCAAATCAAAGACCCCCATCAGTTATGAACCGAATAACTCCATTTATTGTCACTCTCATAACGGACCCACAGCAGAAAGTAGAGGATTTGTTCAGCAACGTCGTGACGTGAAACGTAGATCTTTTGATACGCAGCCCATCACACTCTAACCATATGAAATGTTTGGCTTATCAAATGTGAAACGAAGCAAAACTTTTAATATTTCATGAAAAACGCTCAAGATCGTCGTCAAATTGTTTTCTCTTTTGTTGCAATTTCGAATGTTTTTAGGTTTACTTGCAAAAATAAATCAGTGTTTTTTATTCATCATGGACATATTTCTCTCCCATTTCGGTAACTTAACCTCCTGAATAACATTTTATTGTGTTTTTACTTCGCTTACTGTACTACAGTTTATTAAAGGTTTGTAATTCAGTGCAGGGTCACCTCTAGTGTTTCTAAGAACTGACATTATATATACATATATATGTATATATTAGTTTTCGTTATTATATATTTTAATTATGTACTTTAATTAATGAAGCAATCTGACACACACTTTCCTAAAAATGTAATGAATTCGTTTCTGCAGTGTATACATCACCCAAGTATATAACAATGTTATTCTTCGCTATTATTCAAAGAAATTGATAATATTAGAGAGAAAATACAAAAGTTTTAATTCTCAAATTATATGGACCAATATATTCCCTGGTTCATAGTAATTTCATATATATTTGGATTTTACCAAGTTAGTTGTTCTGTGGTAGAAGAAAGTTTTATTTATATTGTAGTAAAACACGTTTTTCAAGAAAATTTCATTTACCTAAGGCAAATATTGTTTGAATAGTACAACATTTTTTGGATATTACTAAAGGTATTTTGTTAGTTTTATCAAATAACTCAGTGAAGGCTAAGTTCTTCAAACT